CAAATAAGATCTGCAAGAGTGACAATCTCTGGACTTCAAGCCCCAGAATTGGCACATACAAGAAAAATATATCTATACTTCACCAGATATGGTGATCCTGGCCATACTAGGTCATACTATAATATATCTACTCAGGAAGCTAAAACTGGGAGAATCATAGATTGAGGCCAAGCCCAGGTAAAAAAGCATGAGGCACCATGTCAACCAATTAAAAGTTCTATACGGGGCTGGGAAGGTGGCTCAGTGGAAGAGTGCATGCTTGAGGCCCTGGGTTCGATTCCTCAGTATCACAGAAGCAGAAAAAGCCAGAAGTGGCACTATGGCTCCAGTGGTACAGCACTAGCCTTGAGCTGAAGAGCTGAGGGACAGCGCTCAGGCCCAGAGTTCAGGCCCCAGGACTGACCAAAAAAAAAAAAAAAAAAAGTTCTATATGTTGGCTTGTGTCTGTCATCCCAAACACACAAATTGGAGGACTTAGGTCCAGGCCCACACAAAATTAAAAAAAAGAAAAAAAAAGGGCTGGGAAGGTGGCTCAGTGGTAGAGCACTTGCTTTGCATGCATGAGGCCCTGGGTTCGATTCCTCAGCACCACATAAGCAGAAAGAAAAAAGCCAGAAGTGGTGCTGTGGCTCAAGTGGTAGAGTACTAGCCTTGAACTGAAGAGCTGAGGGACAGCGCCCAGGCCCAGAGTTCAGGCCCCATGACCGGACCCAAAAATAAATAAATAAATAAAATAAAGCAAAAAAGGCCTGAGCATGACTCATGTAACAGAGTGCCAAACTAGCAAGTTTAAGGACCTGAGTTAAAACCCAAATACTGCCAAAGAATAAATAAAAGGGCGGGGGGGGGGGGGAAGGTGGTATACAGATCCCAACCAGAAAATATAGCCATGAAACAATGTAGTTCAAAATGTTTCAGTCACCTATATGAACACTGGCGTCTTTCTTTACCTATTGCTAATGAAGTTGCCAAGCAACAGGAAAATGTCCAAAGTTGATTTTCTTCATCCGTAGTAAAAGAAACCAATTTTCACTCATTTAACATTCTGAAAAAGTTCTAACAGATCCCGTCAAAAGATGGGCTTGGCATGTTGAAGTACGTGAGAAACTACCCTCCTCCAAAAAACTCAAAACCAGAAACTGTTCCAGGAAAAAAAAAATGGCCTTCACCAGGACACAAAACCTGCAGAAACCGGTGGGTCTCCCATAGAGCACTGGTTAGAAGCTTCGGGGGTCTTCCAGTGCCCCTGGCACTGAGGGAAGTCTCCAGCTCTAACAAAACCACAATGCTTTCTCAGCATGAATCACATGTGACAACATTCTTTGCATTGTCCAAAGCTTTATTAACAGTCACTTGGGTCCCAGAGCAAAAAACAACAATAAAATAAAGTAATAGTTATCAGATACTTTTCCTCTTTTATTAAATATATCTTTGACAAAATATTATGGAACTTTTAGGTAGTGTCATAGCCACAAAAAAAAAAATAGAAATTGGACCTCTCATATCAGTCCCGGGACATTTGGCTCCAATCTTTCCAAGTGGTAAGCTAAAGAAACAGATGTGGCAACAGTATGAAAAGCCTCTCAATAATGCCACAAAGGCACAAAGAAGGAGCCAAGAACTGGTGGCTGACGCCTGTAGTCAGTCCTAACTGCTCAGGAGGCTGAGATCTGAGGATCCTGGTTGAAAATAAATCCGAGCAGAAAAGTCTGTGATGCTCTTATCTCCAAATAACCAACAGGAAGCCAATAGTAGAACTATGGCTCACATAGTACAATGCCAGCCTCACATAGAACAAAGAGCCAAGCAAGATCGGGAGGCCCTGAGTTCAAGCCCTGGTACCAAAAAAAGGGCAAACTTCTAGTGTGTGGCCAATAAGGACAAAACAAAACCTTGGGACAATTCCAGAAAGGAGAAGTATACGCTGACTGACAAGTGACACACCCAGGCAGACTATCTTCAAATAAGTCCCCTTATTTCATAGTGGAGTAAAGAATGTTTCCATCAAAGTGTTTCTAAGATTGTCATCTTTTGATGAATAACTAGGAAATTACTGATAGCCCCAGCTGGACAGGCTTCAATCAAATATGTTTAGAGATAATAGGGTTCTTCTAGAACCCAGAGCAAAATGAAGCTCTGAATATTTATGAAGCGGCCAGTATGTTTTGTTGTTTTCTTGTTTATAACAGGATCTCTATACAGAGCCTAGGCTAGCCTCAAACTCACAATCGTCCTGCCTCTACCTCCCAAATCCTGGGTTTATAGGTATGCACCACACATCCAAAGAATTCTTTTAGATTCTTTAAAATACTTAGTAGGACAGTCCTCATGAACTAATGTTCAGTCCTCATGAACTAAGGTCAGAGGATAGATTAACAAACACACTCACTAGAATGTATAGAAAATTATAATACAGGCTGAAATCACTAACAAACTCTTTAATCAAGTTGGTTAAGACAAAGAATAGTAGGAATATGGAAAGAATAGTGAAAGAATAACTGGACTTCACGAGGGGAGCATTCTTCAGATCCCAAAGTGAACCAAAGTGAATGAAAGTAAAATGATTAGCACAAACATGCTACTTTAGTTGTCAGATTAAACATCAGTGAGTCTGGGTGCCCGTGGCTCATACCTAATCCTAGATACTCAAGCTAAGATTTTGAGGACACTGTGGTTCCAAGCCAACCTGGACAGATAAACCCTTGGGACTCCATCTCCAATTTAACAGTAAAAATTCAGACTGGATATGTGTCTCAAGTGGTAGAGCACCAGTCTCAGCAAAAAAAAAAAAAAAAAAAATTACATTGAGAACTCAATGTAAAGTATCAAAAGAATAACTGTAGTTTCTTTTCAATACATTAATGCCCAGTGGCTATGATTATGATTTAGAGAAAGGATAGTTTTAATAGAAATATGCATAATTTGGTATCCCACAATATACTACACATAAATAAACATAAACTATAAATAAATAAAATACAAATAAACTATAAGTACTAGAGGATGAACAGATTAATGAGGCTTACATGATAATGCACAAACACCAAGATAGAATTATTTCAATTGGGAAACAATCCTGGGTGGAGGGAGTCTGTATGCACACATGCACACATGCACCAGTATTAGTGTCTGAACTCAGGACCTGGGCACTGTCCCTCAGCTTTTTCCCCTCAATGCTAGTACCCTACCATTTGAGTAACAACTCTACTTCTGTTTTTTGGTGGTTAATTTTGGAGATGAGAGTCTCATGGATCTTCCTTATTGACTTTGAACTCTGATCTTCAGATCTCAGCCTCCTGAGTGTCTAGGATTACAGGCTTGAGTCACTGGCACCCAGCTCAAGTGAAACAAACTTAAGAATGAAGTACTCAATATTTGGGAATTAAAATGATTTTTGAAAACAGCTAATACATCTCTAAGAATGCATCCAAATGTCTGCTATCATTATTAAGGTATGTTTATCTTGAACTGCTTTTGGTCAAAACTGGTATTTTGTTGTATGGTTAGCTGGTTATTTGAATCAATTTTGAATTGCTTTATTCATTCCAAATTACTCAAGAGACCAGGCAGATGCATAAACTGCATTTATGCAATCAAAAAGTAGATGTCACTATCAAAATGTTAATGGACTATTTATGGAGGCAATGGCCCCAAAAGTGGGATCCCTAAAATACTCTGAGCAACTGGAAATATTTAACTCACAAAGTAACTTCTTTGAAGAAATCAACCATTTGAGCCACATGTTCTTGTAAATCTAAAAAGAACTCCATGTCCCACAGTATTCCTGGCCCTTCTTCAAATGCCTGTTCTGGCATATAGGAGATGAAAACACATGAAATTGACATTGATGTGGGTCACAAATGGCTGGATACCAGCAAAGTCATATGGAACAAATTTACAGTACTATAAAACAAAGGAGATGGAGCAGTTTCCAACATATAGTGGATTTACATGCTAACAATAACTTGTACGTTTACAAAATTTTATACTTTATAAACACCTCAAAATACGTATTATTAAGCTCAGCATCTCAGTGAATTGGGCAATCAGATACTTCTTCTTTGCAGAAGAAAATAAGTCTTAATATCAAGTCACTTGCTCAAATGTAAACATGTTAGGTGCCCAAACATCAAAAAGTAATGGAGCAAAGGATCTAAGCCTTTGACTCTGAAACTTTACCGCAAACAACGTCCTTGAAAAGGAGAATCAAAGAAGCCTAAGTAGCCAGTGCTCACTTGTACACAGATTCCATAAATATCTATGTGATAAGTATCTAGATTGGAATTTTTAAGTGCTTTCAAAAATGTGGGTGGGTACTCAAGTACATTCTTGTAATTTCTTTTCTGATTTCCCCAACCTATGCCTTCCTCCATGGTTTCTGCCTTTTGCCTTAGAAGCCAACCTGATTCTTACCTTAAGGACCACATACCTGGCCATTTGGGTACCAAACAGTATACTAAACATATAGTGTCTGCCTTTTAGTCTATTTTACTCATAGTAAATGGTTCTCTATAATACCTATTAGTTGAATGAGTAGTCCACAACTAAAACTCATTTGGGTAATGACTCCACTTAAAACTTGAAAGAAAAACTTGCAGGTGAAAAAGAGAAAAGAAGATGCTTAATGTTGACTTCAAAACCAGGTAATTCTATGCATATGCATTGGACTCTCCAATGTAGGTTATAGATTGTGAAACACGGGGCCTTGCTTCTCAACCATCCACTCCCACTGGCAAATTAAGCAATAATGGAAACTTTCTTGCTTACTAATTAAAAATAATATATATTCCACCAATGCTATCTTCAGATACTGCGACTGATATAGCCTCTTCCTACTGTATCATACTGTGGGAGTGTCGATTTGCAGGGATCAAATCTCACTTGCAACCAAGGACACATATCTGTGACTATGGAGTCCATGAGGACAGGGATGATACATCCTATAAAATCCACACATGTCTTTGTTTATAAAGTATTTTGTAAATGCTTTAAATACTTACTCACACAACAGGACACCATTTTCTAGGGAAGCTCGAAAATCCTTTGTTTGAAAATTCTTCTCTGTTACTGCCTAAAAGACAGATTTGAATGTTAATTGGTTTCTTCGCCAGGAATAGCTAAAGTCAAATTCAGATCTGATTAATTAATATGCATTGAATGTTTTACTTGATATGTATACATCACCAAAAGCTATTCTTATGGGAAGTTATTCTACATCAAAACCCTTTTAGTATAATAAAAATAAACAGCAAAAAATGAGTGCCCTCTGTAATGTAATTATTTTTTTAATATTTTTATTATAAAGATACTGTACAGAGGGGTTACAGTTACATGAGTAAGGTAATGAATACATTTCCTATTGAGCATTTTACCCCCTCCTTTGTTTTTCCCCTACCATCCCTTCCCTCCACACCTCCTGAACTCCTCCCCCACCCAAAGTTGTGTTTCAACATAGTGTCTTGTACATTTCATTGTTACAGTGGGTCAACCTGTAACCTTATTTAAGCATTTTGTTATTTCCCTTCCCCTCACCAAATTAGAAAAATGTATATATACAAGGTGTATGGTACCTGAATCAAATACAGTGAAAACAGGGGTTATACCATGGAGAAAAAAACATACATAAGAAACAACATAAAATATCAGTCCATTATAAGTACATTAAAACAGCAACAACAATAAAACCTCTTGTGTCCCTATATTGGAGTTCATTTCTGTATTGCAATTATTTTATTTGATGATCAACAAAGGTTGGAAATGAAACTGAAGTTCCAGCATTTTTTTATATTGTAAAGAAAACTGCAAGGTATATTAAATAGGTAGGTTTCATTAGGTAGCCAATGAAGAGAACACCATATGCTATTCAGACAGGAAAAGAAGCTTATTTACCAAACTGCTGCCCCCACCATGCACGGTGGAGAGGCAAGGTTGAAAAGGGGCCACCCACCCCTGGGCCAGGACTTATCTAGGTCAGGGACAGGAAGAGGTGTGGCCAGGTGGGGGAAAGGTGTGACCACACTGGATCTGGACCTGACCTCAGGGTCTGGGACCCTCCTAAAGTCAGATGGGAGGAGTGACCAGAGGTGGCCCAGGATGTGACCTAGCCTGAGGGGGAAGATGACTGCTTCCAGTTGTGCCAGTTACCTAGGTAACAGATACTGGGCAGAAACTTAGCCAAGAGGTAGGGAGGTGTCCCTGAGCAGACCTGGCAAAAACTACTAAGAATGAATGAAAACAGTTTGGGATATAAACCTGAAATATCACCTGGATATCCATATCCTTAACTTCAATTCCAGCTTCAATTCTGAATGTGTCATTACAAAAGTGAGGTAGCTTATTCATCAGTTGGCTCTACTATATAGGCCTAGGAGCTACTTGTGGAAACATCATGAGGAAAAGTCTTTCAAATCCTTGCACAGAAACCACAGAGAGATAGGGTAATTTTGTGTGTGTGTGAGACTAGACTTTGAACTCAGGGCTTGGGCACTCTTGCTTCGCTTTTACTCTTGAGACTAGTGCTCTACCAATTGAGCCACACAACTCCACTTCCAGCTTTTTACTGGTTAAATGGAGATATAAAAAAGTGTAATGGATGTGTGGAGGCGTTGACTCGTGTGACCCCACCTGAGTTCCTGTGAGCTGGAGAGTGCATTCTGGCATGCATTCCCTCTGGGGGAGGAAGGAGGACGCCCCTTCCTCCAAGCAGGACAAGGGTCCTGCCCCCCCCCCCCCTGGGCGCCAGACTTGGTGGACGGTTTGTGGGAAGTGCTATTCTTGTTCCTCCTAATTAATCATGTAGAACAATGGCTCAAGATTCCTTTTGTGTTTTTTTAATGAAGCCCCACCTGTACCTTGCTTCCTCTTTTATTATCTCGAACTCTTCCCACTCACTGTCTAAAGGTTTCTAATTGTCCACATTCCCCCAAAATTGTTTAAGGTAACCTTTCTGTCCCATGATTGTCCTGTGACTACAGACTTACCTTCTATGCCCCTACACCATATATAAGCGTATGATGTTTTAATAAACTTTGTCTATACCCGCATGGTATGGTCCCTTTCTGCCTACCAGACACTGCATTCCCGGGTCTCACTGTGTGAACAGCAACATGGATGCTCATGCTTTGAAGCATAATCCTTAGATCTCAGCCTCCTGAGTAGCTGGTTACAATGCATGAGCCATGGATGCCCAGCTTGAAAAAATATTGTAAACAATTCTCAGCCTAAGGCAATTAAATAGACCAAGTCACCTCCAGTAACACCAGCATGGTCTTGGAAAAAATAACCAGATTTGGTCTCTCCAGTGTGGAGTGGCAGGAAAGGAAAGGGGATTCCATATGTAGGAGCTGCAGCAGAGAAAGGGAAAGCCACAGTGGGCAAAGCTGCGCCAAAAACAACTTCTGGGCCTAGGTCACCAGCTCCAGAGAACAGGAAACCAACAGCAGCAACACCAGCTTGCCTAGCCATACATCCACCTCTTGCTCCACCTGACCCTTCCAGAGTAATACCTTCTAAAAACCTGAACTGCAAAGTCACTGATCTGATCTGAAATCACAAGGCAGAGACAGAGTGGCATGGCTGCTGTTGGCTACATGGTCTACCTAGAGCTCAGAGCAACTTGTCCTATCTTTCCACAATGAGCAACACTGCTAGTACTAGATCCAGAATCTACTAACCGACAAAACAATGACCTTAGCAAGGTTAGGGTGCTGCAGACTTCCAGGCCCAGCATTCAAGAGGCTGAAGCAGGAGGATCACTTGAGCTGAGAGGTGCTATGTCAATCTAGGCAACATCCCAAGACCCTCTCTCCAAAATAAATAAGTAAGCAGCCCTAGAATTAGTTAGATATGAAGAGAAAGGAAGAGATGACCGAAGTTAATTTTTCATAAGTTGATTCTCAAAGTAATGGACAAGAACCTGGGCCAGGAGATGACACATCCAAGTCCAGGAAGAGGACGATCCTTTCCTATGTGCAGCATTAAACCCAGGAGCACTGCACAGTGGCAGGAAATAAGCATCAGCAAAGGGTCTCTATTATAATCACAACCCAGATGCTAGGTGAAGAATAAAGTTGAAAAATGAAATAAAATTATAAACTAAAATTCAGTTTCAATCAAGAAACTTATAGCCCCAGAAGTAGAACACTGTGCAAAGACACAGTAAAAGATAGCTAGGTTGAATGGTAGGTTCCTTGAGGAATATCCTGAAGTGGCTTGCCCATAGACCATCCCCAGATATCCCATTCAACCCAAGTGCTAGAATTTACCTCACTCCCAAAGATTTGCCTTGCAAGATGTCCTCTACTTCAAGGAAGATATCGAATCACCAGATTATAAAACTCAACAAAATTAGTTCTACCTCCTGAAAGCATTACAAAAATTACTGAGCACCTCAAAGCATAGTAAAAGAATTGTTTGTTGTTGTTTTTAATTAAAAACTACTTTAAAATATGACCCCCATGGGGTCATATGAAGAAGTGCATCTTCTGAAGTAATTCATCTGGAACTTACAATCTAACTATTTTTTTCATGTTTCAATAATGTTGGCCCTTACTCATTAGTAAGCTATTTAAGGTGTGATACCTTTTATGTAATAGTGTTGTGAGTCATAAAAATTAAATAAATAGCGAGCACATGCTTTCCACTGAAGTTATCAAAAGTAAACACACACAGGAGAGATCACTATGTGGTCACACAACCACACCTTGCATTCTACACAATTGTGTCTCTCTTGCTTGCCCCTTTGTATATTTTTCTAATGCGCTTAAATAAAATCAGTGGCACCCAAAGTCATCTGAGAAACTGTGCATTAAACAAGAAGACCTGGAACTTAACCATGGATCCATCTCACACAATGTACCTATGATTAGGTCATCAGTCCCTTAAATTCTTATTTCATTTTCATGGCATTAGTACTGGGATTTGAATTCAGGGCCCTGATGCTGTTCCTTAGCTTTTTCAACCAAGGCCAGCCTTTTAACCACTTAAACATCTCCTCTTTTGGCTTTCTGGAGGTCAATTGGTGATAAGAATCTCACAGACTTTCCTGCCTGGGATGGCTTTGAACCTCGATCCTCAGATCTCAGCATTCTGAATAGCTGGGATTACAGGTAGGAGCCACTGGGCAGTCCCTTGACTTTTAAAAGGGAGTAAAGATTTACTCTACTTCACAGTACAAAAATAATCTATGAAAATATGTTGACTCCTAAAAAAAAAGCTACAAAGACTAGTCTAAGCTCGTGTTATGTTTCTTCTACCCATGTGTTCCCATGAACAGAACAGCCATCCTTTTGGAAAAAAAGCCATCAAGTGACAGGGCCTAGCTTATTGCTCTTGGGTGTCATGCTTGCTGGAAAGACATAATTAGTCTAATGGAGCAGGCAAAGGGCGGAGCCGGCGGCGCCAGGGTACTTTCTTCACAAACCCTCTGCCAAACCTGTCTGACCACCTAGAGCCTGGAGAAGCCCTCCACTGGAAGTTTTTAAGGGGAGACAGTAACAGCTATCTACACATCGAGTGCCAAGCTCACCAACACATCACATCTTTCACTATGAAATGTAAGGATTTAGTGAATAAACGGGAATTACATTCACACCCCTCACAGTTTGGCTGATGGTTTTATTTTAATCCTCTCACTGGATAAAATTTCCCAGGGATGTAAGCAACAAGTTTCCCCACGTTCCATCCCTCCATTCCAATTCTGATCAGGTACATGACTAAAATGCCAAACATTCTGGAAGCTTCTCCACCAACTGATATCGAACTCTAGTTATCAGCAAACCACCCACAAATGCAAGTCAGAAGGTACTGTCACCTTAAAACTTTTCAATTCCTTTAAAGCAACCATTTATAAGGTGTCTAGAATTCCAAAAGGCATTTAATCATCTTTTTTGTTGTTGTTGTTGGTTGTGGGGGCTGAACTCTGGGCCTGGGCACTGTCTCTTAGCTCTTCAATATCAAGGCTAGCACCCTACCACTGAGCCACAGTACCACTCCTGACTTTTTTCTGCTAATGTGATGCTGAGCAATCGAACCCAGGGCCTCATTCATGCGAGGCAAGCACTCTACCACTGA